TTTGTTCGGAAGAGAGATTCAGAGAGTAAAGGAACACCGAGTCATCCCGAAAAACCAGCCATAACCCAGACTATGCACGCCATATCGAACCCAGCTTAACGAGTCCTTGCCTGCACCTTTGGTGCGGCACCCTTGGCACCCTGCTTGCTGACCTTGGCGGCGTTGCCTCGTGCGGACGCGGCGGCGTTCTTGGCCTTCTCAGCCTTCTTCGCCGACTCGGCAGCGGCCTTCTTCTCCTTGCCCTCCTTGATGGCAGCGGTGCGGGCGGCGGTACGGGCCTCGGGACGTTGGCTGCGGCGCTCCTTGATTACGTCGAGCGAAGCACCGACGATGGCACGCTGGTGCTTGACTGTGCGGCGGGTACGCTTCTTGGCGACTTCCTGTTGGAGAGATAGCGGTTAGCGCAGTCCGCGATGAGGGAATGGAGATGCATGTTGCGATGAGAGCAACATCGCCGCTGAGGATGTTTGCCATGCCCAAGTCTGTCCGCAGTACAGACTGATGTCATAGTTCACTGTCTCTCAAACATGTCCCAGCGGCGTGTATATGAGTTCGCGCGACTAACCTCAGAGATACCCTTCTTGTGCGCCCTTCGGTAGAGAGTGGTCCAGTGAATCTTGCGAGGGTTCTTGCGCTGGAGGAAAAGGGACTCGGTCTTTCCGTTCTGGAAGCGGAAGATCTTGCTGTCACCACGGATGTAGAGCTTGCCCTGTTTATACCATCAGCGAATGTCCGACCCATTGTAGTGTTCCATCCCCGTCCGCCAGGTGTTCGCGTTGTCGCCGTCGCGATGGCGGGATTTCGACGTCTGAGGGGCGAGCGGCGAGACGTGGAGGGGCAATGTAACGCACCTTGCCCGGGTAGATCTTTTGACCGCTGAAGGAATCGTCGTAGGTACGCATGTTGGCGGTGTTGGCGTGATACCTGTGTGTTAGTCGTGGGGTTGTCGTCGGTCGCGAATTCAATATTGCAACTCCGTAAGAGACGTGTGGGCGGGCTAAGCCTGGGCAGGCTAGTCCCTTGGCGCTGGCGCGGTGGCTGGTGAGCGCCTCACCAAACGCCTTTCACTCACCCACACACCGCGATGCAACTCCAACGCGACAGTTATTCTTCATTGCAAAGTGTACAGTGGTACTTGTGGACTCTAGGCATCTGTCAATCACTTTTACGCATTCGTACGAGAGCTGCCAATCCGCCTCTCTTGTCGCACGGCCGCCTTCACAGCAATCACTCACCACAAGCGAATGTATTTTCTTTCTTCATCGGCGAACTTGTTTACTGAATAGTCCGATATCGTCTCATAGTTGCGCAGATGCATTACCCGGGTCTCTTTCTAGCGCTGGATCTCATGAAGATGCTCAGGCTACTGCGGTCCTTCCACCTCAACCAGCGCGGGCTGAAGATCCCCTAGATCATGACCCTAGGTCTCGACAAAGAACCTAGTGATACACCTTCAGCGCGATATTAGAAGAGCCTATGACAACATCGTTCACGGCGTTTGTGTGGATGCCTAATCCATCCTTCACTCTATCCGCCCCACCCACACGCCATGATTTCTACGTCATTTTTGTTATCTTGGTACATTCGGAAGGCACTCGCATGCTTTCATGCCCGGCTGATGTGATCTAGATGATCAAGCTAATGTATACAGCAAGGGCCACTGTCAAAACAGCTCGAGAAGGTTTGCCACTGCCGGATTCGTCAGACCGCATTACTGTGGGCGGTAAGACCATCGAGAGACCATCGAAGCAGCCAGCGACATTCTAGCTATCACACCGCAAATTTAGAAGAGAAATGAGTGAAACAGCTTGTGAAGAACGTTCGGTGCTAGTTCCACCGTGTGCTCTCTCCGTTTGTCCTGTAAGGCCTAGAATACTCATGAATTTACAGCTCAATATTGTTCCAATCACCGAATACATATAAGACTTCATCAAGACCAGCAACAAAAAAATCATTTCCGATGTCACTTGTTATGGATCCTTCATCACACAAAGTTTCGGTTGCGTCCGCCGGTTCCGGTATGCAGTTACGAGAGCATGGCGATACAACGTTTGACCCGATAACGCATCGTCTCGTCACTGCATCGACGCCACGGTCTGCACGAGCAAATGCAGCCATATCTACCTCTACTCTACACGACCAAGATCTGGTAGATGTCATGGCCGAGCTTGAACGTCATCAGTCTGATCACCGAGCGGCCTTCGCCTTCGAGATGGCCCAAGGCGGCCGTATCCATCCGTTGAATGAGGACGAATTAAGACACTTCCGCAAGGAAAGAGATGGTGTCTTTGGACCTTCTCAGTGGGATACGCCGAACCTCAACGGGGAGTTGCCGTTCACTTTCACATCGCTACCCAACCTTGCGGCAGTCGAAAAAGCGATCAAAGGCGACATTGGAGGTGAGAATCACTTCCGATTTGCACCTTCGCGTGGCTCGCCAGAAGACGATGCAAACGCTGTTATGCACTTGCTCGACAACATCGGTAATCCGAGGTACTCTGAGCCTGGCGCGGTTGTCCATATGCAGTCGCCTTCCTTCAATCAGAAGAAGCGCTGGTTGACAGGATGGGAAGGGGACGGTGTACTGGGCCAGTCAGACTTTCAGATGACTGTTGCTCCATCAGGCGAGGTATTCGAAATGGAGTACTATGAACACCACTTCTCCACGACGCTGTTGACCGGCTCAAAAGTATGGTTCACTTTTCCCCCGCTCCAAGCCAATCTAGACATTCTCCGCAAAGCGTACGAAGGTATGCATGACAGCAACACCCCACACGTTCCCCTGGATGTTCTTTCGGAAATGCAACATGGCATTGCAATCATTCAGAAGCCAGGACAGACCCTCCTGCTCCCACCATACTGGTCCCACATGATATTCTGTACCGAGACATCAACATCGTGTAGTTTCTCTTTAGCAACCGCGGCGCAATTCATGTACCGCATCAAGCACATGGATCTGTGGGTCAGCCACAATCTCTTCTGGGACACAGGAGAACAGCTACAATCCCACCTCGTGCGCTATGCCTCGGAGCTCGCAACTCATTTCGCTTCCATTATGACAGGCGATCTCAAGCGCTTCAAAGTCGCCCCTGTGCAGAACCAGATATGCAGCGAATGGGTCAAGACTGGACCGAAAGAGGCCCCAGAATTTGAGAACATGAAAGAGAAGATTGGTGTACTGTTGTCACTGATTGATGATGAAGAAGAGAGAGAGAGAATAGATGATGAGATCCGACATGCGTGGATTGAGTTCATGGAGGAGAAGCGCAAAAAGAGACCAGAATGCCGGCTATGTCGCGTACGTATCGAGCACATGCCAGCGGGAGAGACGCCAGATGAGCGGCTGGCACGACATGTCACCGACGTGCACTGCTCGTACGAGGAGTAATCATTTCGACATGTCCGCCGCAGCGAGAGGTGCACTACTTTGGTGCATCAAATTTTGAAGGTCTTATTCTTATTCCCGGGACGTTCCACAACTGTCATGGAAGAATTCAAATACCTCGCCCGCCCATCTCACGCCACTATCATTCACTATTAGTATAAAGACCCACGTCGCACAATGCGAGTCAAGTCGTCGCAGCCGCGCAACCACAGTGAGGGAGAAGAGCATCGGATCGGTCCCTGCCATCCGACACTAAACCGCCCGGGCCGGCCGCCATCTTCAACCACCAAGCCCAAACAGGTCTAACAAGCGGAAACGACCCACGACTTGAGCTCATGCCCCCGCACACTACACCCTGAAATCTTTTGCCTCCGGTGGACTAGACCGCCGCCATTCTGGCAGCTAGAATGCGCCATTGTCAGCAACCGATACTTTTGTACAAAGCTGAGCGGCGGCTGAAGAAATTTCCTCGAACCTGAATGGAAGGCTTGATCTACGACCGAGGTTCGGCTCGTACCTGCAGATGAAGATGCAGTAGTGGAGAAGGCATTATGTAGACATGTTCTAGGTCGGAGGGGATGGCCAAATCAAGTACCTATATAAGCAGAGTATGTAATGAACGAACGGGACGGCAGACAAGAAGATATTACAACACGAATCTCAAATTTACCTATTAGTTGACCAAATTTCTACCCACCTCCTACCCACCTACCCACATCTCCAAAACCTCCATCAGGGACGATCCAAAAACTACGCTTCACCATCGACAAAGCCTGTCTTAACACCCCTACACATACCTAAAATGCGCTTCCTCTCCACCCTCCTGAGCACCACCCTCAGCCTCCTCACCATCACCTCCGCCGCCTTAACAATGAACACCACAAACGGCATGGGCACCACACCCACCCAACGCTACGTCATCTCCGCCTCGCAAGCACAAACCGTCATCGACGCCGCCGTTTCCAACGCCACATCCCTCCAGATCCCCGAGAACATCGCCATCGTAGATCCCTCTGGCCTACTCGTCGCTTTCCACCGCATGGACAACGCATTCATCGGCTCCATCGACATTTCGCAGAAGAAGGCTCGCACGGCTGTGCTGTTCAATGGGTTGTATGCCAGTGCGGATTTGTATGCGGCGGTGCAGCCTGGTGCGCCGCTTTATGATGTGCAGAATACGAATGGCGGGTTGATCGCTTTTGGGGGTGGGATACCGATTTACCTCGAGGGAAAGTTGATTGGGGGTGTGGGTGTTAGTGGAGGGAGCGTGGAGCAGGATTTGAGTGTTGCGAATGCGGGTGTGGAGGCTTTGGGGGCGAGCACGAAGGCATAGGCCCATGGGGTAGCCGTAGAGGGCTGTATTCGATGTTTAGGTCGCTAGCGAAGATACTGTGACCCTGAACTCATCACCCATGCCTCACCCCGACTCACACTGTGATAACGACACATTCGCGCTCAGCATGCATTCCCACTATCCTCTCTCTTCTGGCGCTTTGGCCCCCGGTCAAACGATTGGGGAAACCCTCCTCCAAGCCGCTGCAGGTCCCCATTCCGCGCCACTTCCTCCGCAAACATGAAACTGCCAAATGCACATCAGCACGTCAGGCTTGGGAAGTTACCTCATGAGCTCATACGTCTGGCTCCTCTCCATGCCTTCTATCGCATCCTTGGCATCGAGCCTCGTTTCCTCTCTGACACCCTCCATCTCCGCGATCGCCGCGAACCGCTCTTTCCAGAGCGCCCATCTTTCTTTGCTGAACTCGCTTTTGCCCTTCCACAGTTCGCCGCCGCGTCCTGGGTTGCCTTGCTTTTTATCAGTAGGCGTGAGATCCTTTTCCATGCGGAAGAGGTCGTGGCCGTAGGCTATTATCCAAGCTGCAGCTGCGGGAACGTTTGCGTCGTATTTTTGGTTGGCTGTCGACATCGGCTCATCGATGGGAGGTGTCTCGAGAGCTTCCCGCAGCGCGAAGATGGCGTACATGGAGAGATCGTAGATATGTTCCCTTGCTACAAAGGCGAAGAAGTAGTTCATGTTCGTCCAAGCTTGCACCTCCGTCTCGATGAAGCCTTCGTGAGCGGCCGGCGCGTCGTTGAAGGCCTCACGACAGGCCATGCCAAAGTCGGTCATTTCCTTGTAGAGGTAGTCATACTCCTTGTTGCCCGGTATTGAGTGCTTCTTGAATGCTTCGAGCAACTCGATGAGTTGGTGGTGCTGTGTTCGGGCGCCGTCGCGGAATGTTGATCGTCTTGCTGAGTGAATGATGCTGGTCCATAGGTCCATGAAGTCGACATCGTCGAGTTTGGCCTCCTTGATCTTTTCATCAATCGGTCCGAGTATGCGCGCCGTCGCTTCTTTCACGTCGATCTTCTCGCTGAGGTAGTCTTGGATCAACGGGTAGTACGCGCTGTCTTCTTTTGGACGGAACCATCCTCTTATCTTTGCAATCTGGTCGATTTGATCTGCCTCGTTCTGGAGGGTTGGGAGGATATCCTGGATCCACTGGTTTTGTTGCTAGAACAGAATATTAATTATGAGCTAAAATGAAATCATTACGAGCAAATACCGCTATGCGAGCCATCGTTCTGATCGGTGAAGCGAGACGTGGTGATCTTAGGCTGGTGGGATGAGACAAAGGTACACGGTGTTTCCTTCTAGTGATGTCATACGCGGCGGTACCACGGTCAGTCCTACTAATCCCACGTGTATGCCTCGTTAAGGCAGCTGGTGACCTATGCCGGACCAGTCGAAGTGCGCTATGAGGCATCCCTTTCTGAAAGTGGATACACACGGCCAGTGTGTGTTGATAGGCGCGGAGCATCGTCCGCGTAACGGAAGGCAGGCGTTCGGTTGGCTGGACAGGTGCATGGTACAAGAGCGGCTGTTACACCTGTAGCAACCACGCCTATAGTATAGCCGATCCGCGCTATGATGGTCCTTTGAAGTGCGATGATCAGGATCGAAGCAGGAAGTCTTAAGAGAAGCTGATCGCCGAACGTGTGGGTGATCAACCCGAAGCTGTCGGTAAACAAGGGTCCTCGGAATGCCGGGGACGGGCTTCCCGCAACCTTGGAACGTGTCTTTCTTTGCCCGCGGGGCATACCTGCATCGCACGGCAGTGATAAGGCGAGCGTCAAAAACAATTCAATTTCAAAGCTTGAGTGAGATTCGGTGATCGAAGGGGAAGTTTTTGCAGTTCATGAAGTCAGCGATGGCCTCGGAAGGTATTCGCTATTCCGCAGTACCACCTGGGTACTGTACCCTCAAAACTACGATGTATTCTTCAATCCTGTCTTACAGCAACAATGAAGTGAGCTGTTGACTGGGGCTTGGGCTTGGTATCGGCTCGATCTGGTCAAAGAGATTCCTTTCTTACAGCTTCGCACCCTTCTCCCTCTCCGCCAAAGCTCTCAAATCCTTTCTAAGAATCTTGCCTGCCGGGCTCTTGGGAATCTCATCTAAGAATATCACCTAAAAATGGGTACACAAAGTCAGTATTTCTCTCACATACAATTCGAGCGCGGAGGCTACTTACACCTCCCCTCAACTGTTTATGCCCAGCAACCTTCCCCTTGACGAATTCAACAACGTCTTTAGACGAGATCTTACTCTTGTCAGCGACAACGTATGCTCTCGGCACCTCATTCGTCCCATCTTCTGTCAGCACCCCAATAACAGCGGCATCCAGCACGAGCGGATGACTGAGCAACACGGCTTCCAACTCCGCCGGCGCGACCTGTAGACCCTTGTACTTGATGAGTTCCTGAAGATAAGCAGTCAGCGTATGGGCCACGACCTTCGCACAGCTGGACTCGCCTTCTTTCGATCTACTATGTAGAACATCCCATCCCTAAACTCCGCGATATCACCCGTATGAAACCAGCCATCCAGAGTGAAAGCCTCTCTATCCGCCTCTTCATTCCGATAATACCCTTTACACACCACGGGCCCTTTCACCAACACCTCCCCAGCCATCCCCTCTTCCACATCTCCTCCCTCATCATCAACAAGTCTAGCCCTCATATTCGGCAACAACATAGCCACACTCCCCGTATCATCCCGCATCCCAGGCGTCATAATCGTCGCACTCCCCGTCGTCTCACTCAAGCCCCAGGTCTGATCCACAAAACACTCCTCACCACCAAGTTTCTGGCTCGCCGCGTATTGGAGGTCTCGTCCTAGTGGCGCGGCACCTGAAACACAAAATTCTAGGGAAGCGAATTGGGTGGTTGCTAGGGGACTTTTGGCGATTAGGAGAAGGATGGGGGGGACGGTGAAGAAGAAGGTTATGCGGTAGAGGGCGTTGTAGGATAGAAAGGAGGGGCAGTCGAAGCGCGGCATCCAGTATACGGTTCCGCCGAGGTAGAAGGGGTTTATGAGGTAGCCTTGTACGCCGGCTATGTGGGCGGTGGGGAGGTCTGGTGGGGGGTGGGATGGGATGTCAGTGTACAGCTATCTCAAATTGCAATATCGTATGAGGGAAGATAAACGTACGGGCGATTGTCCGGTATTCAAAACCCGGACGTTTCTCTTTCACCCACGCCTTCATCATATCCCCCGTACTAACAGTCTGGCTCACAATATTGCGGTGTGAAAGCTTTACTCCCTTGGGTAATCCAGTCGTTCCGGAGCTATAAATCAGCACTATCAAACTCTCGTCCAGCTCTTTCCGATCCGTAATTCGCGTCCACGGCAGTAAATCTCCTCCATCAATGATGTTCTGCCCCGGCCTCCCATCTTTACCAACAATCTTCAACGTCCATTCCCTCCCCTCACTCATAAGCAGTACGCGCCCGCCTCCACCCTGACCCCACCCAGCGTCCTCTGCAGCTCTGATCGTAGTCTCCAGGGTAGCTTGACAAGTGACAAGAATCTTCGAGCTGGCACCTTGTAGTTGCTTGGCTAGTTCGCTGGCTGTGCTTGCTGCGGAGGCAGCGGAGAAGATACCGCCTGCTCCGATAATTCCATACGCGAGAACAGGGAGGAGGTAGTGGCCTGTTGAGATAACGGAGCACACATCTCTTCCTGGGCCATAGGCGCCGATACCAAAGTGCTTGCGGAGGGCGGCTGAGGTGGCTTGGGTTAGGTGGCGGGCGCGCGATGTGGTTAGGATTAGACTTGGGTCTGCGGCTGAGACGTGAAGGGGAGTGTCTGGTTTGGCTAGGCTGTGTTCGGAGTCTACAAGGAGACGTGTTGTTAGTTGAGGAGGTTGTTGGGGTAGTATCAGGTGCTTTTGCAGTGGTGGGCGTACCGAATAGAAGCGTTAGTACATCGAGGTCAGGGATCGGGTAGCATTTCTCGGAACGATAGATGATTCCATCAGCCGTCTTCTCTACAACGGTAGCCATATTACTGCGAGGCTCCTTCCTACTCAAACACAATATTTGCGAATGCAACTAATAAAGCCCGACGAACGAAGCAGAAATGGCCCCTACGGTCAAAGGTACCACAGGACGTTGTTCTCGTGTATTCGGTTATATATACTCTAGCTAGAGTAGCTGCACAATCGCCCTGTTATAGCGACGCGTTTCCTCGGCTCCCTCGTTCCAGTCTGGATTGGTTGTCGATCAACCTGTGGCTTCGGCAAGCCTGGTATGTCAGTACTAGCGAGTAAGCGGGGTAAGTCGGGGTAATCACAGCAGCCGTGCTACTGCGCGCTATCGTGAGGTTATTCAGTTCCGACTTCTCAGATTACTGATTGAGGCGTTCAAGGCTTGTTCGCGATTTACGAGTCCTTGCGCCGTGAGCGTGGGTAGGTCCTCAGAGGAACGTGGTCTTTCAACCTCTGCGTTTTGCACTCGGCTCATCATAGGCACCTTCAGCATCATCCCCATCGGCGTCGTCTCCAGCAGCGGGTTTGTTGGCCTTCTTTGGTTTTCGTCTCTTCCGCTTGTGCTTGACGGGTGGTTCTTCTGCAGCCGCAGTGATCTCCATGGGGACTTCTTCTGGCCTTCGCGATGAAACCTGGAGGGCCTTTTCAGGAGGAGCTTTGATTGTATATGCCATCGGAAGCACTGCTGGTCGTGCGATTGGAGGCAGCTCGCTCTCGTTCGCCATATTCTTGCGCATTCCTCTAGGGTTCTCTGCCTTGAGCAACGCAACGTATTCAGCGGTGCGTTTGGTATGCTCGACCTTGGTCATGATCTTCCAGTCCTCAGGCTTGTCTGCTGCTCTCCACTTTTGCCAAACGTCGTCGTGCATCACGCTTCCGCTGAGGACAACGAAAGCGCAGCTGTTCCACAGTGTATGGACTGCTTGTATGGGTAGCCACTTGGGCCGCAAGTCGCCATGCTTCGCAAGCCAGTATGCGACCTTTGCTGGCGTAGGACAGATGTTGCGTAAGTGTGGCTCGACGTAGATTGTGCGCTGGTCCCAGAATGCTAGACCGTCGTCATCGGTAACTTGGAACGAGTTGTGGGGTAGGTATTTAGGAGGGTACGAAGAGGGCTTGCGGCGGACATGGTAGCCATTGCTCGAGAGCTCTAGCATATCAGAGGGGTGGTCGCGGAGTGCTTGCTGCAGGAGGATCTGAGAGGCTTCGGGCTTCAGGGAGGAGATGTTGGGGTGTTCGAGGATGGCGGTGAGGTGGATGTCTGTATAGCAAGTCAGTCATGAGATAGACATACAATTGGGCATGTATACAATTCTCCTCGCCATCGACGGTTCTGTGACGGTCCTGCAGCCACTTTGCCCGCTGCTCTTCCTGGTGGGCATAGTCGGTGAAGATGAGCTCGACGCCAGCAGCAAGCTGACCAATGTACTCTGGCGTGACAGGCTTGGTGGTGAATCTGGGACCAGGCTTGGTGGCTTTGAGGTCAGTCTGTTCTGGCTGGTCAGTAGGTGAGCTGGTTCTTGTCTTCTGCATCGCCTCGACCAGCGCATCGTCTTGGTCGCCTTCAGCAGGCGCTTTAGAGGGTGCTTGGGCAGGCTTGGGCCGCGGCTTCTCACGGACGCCCTTGAGCCTGAGCGCTCTGGGAATGAACATGGCACCGATGTTCCGCTCTCGTGGTGGCGAGAGCTGACAAGAATTGGCGTCGCTGAAGAAGTTCGAGTGCCATCGCAGACCCCATTCGCGACGTGCCGCGGCTCAAGCACGGACCTACGTCAGTCCCCAGAATCTCAATTTCCATACAGCGTTGTCTCAGCCAACAACCTCACAAACCTCCTTCATACCAGACCCTACCTTCAAGCGTCAAGATGGCCAAAGAGAAGAACTACAACCCCGTGCAAGAAGCCAAGAAGGCCGAGAAGCAGAAGCAGATCCGCAAGCAAAAAGCCAACCTCCAGACGCAGCGCAACGAGAAACTCGCGCGCCGAAACCCCAACCGCATACAACGCGACATCGACAACCTCAAAGAACTCGACCAGAGCGGCGCAATACGGCCACATGAGCGGCAACGGCTACAGGAGCTGGAGAAGGATCTCGCCGCCGTCAACAAGGCGCGCGCAGCACTGGGCGACAAAGCGCCCGTCTTCAAGCCAGAGCGGCAATACAACAACGACGACAGAGGGCGGGGAGGCGACCGGGGAGGCAGAGGCGGCGGCGTTCTCGGCAAGCGATCGCGCGATGGACAGCGCAAAGACGACGACAGCAGCGACACGGACGACGACGTGAAGCGGATCCCCATGCCGCGCGACACACCGCCGCCCATACCACGGAAATACCTACCTCAAGACCCGCAAGACGAAGCCGCTGCGCCCGCCGAACCCAAGAAGCCCACCATCGTCTACGAAGCCGCACCCCAGGTCCGCGATCTGCGCAAAGAAGCAACAAGATTCATGCCTGCGTCTGTGGCGCAGAAGGTCAAGCTGGCAAAGGGCGAGGGGCGGTTACTCGAACCCGATGAGTTTGACAAGTTGCGGGAAGGAGGGTATATGAATGAGGGAAAGAAGAAGGATGACACGGAAGAAGGTGCTGAGAAGGTTCCACCAACGGCCGAAGATGAGGAGCTGGATGCTTTCTTGAGGTTACAGAACACGTCGGCGGGTGATATGGCAGAGCAGGTTGCTGAGGCTGCGGCCCAGGAAGCAGAGTACAAGATGATGGCTGCTGAGGCCAAGGGGCAGATGGAGGGTATATCTGATGAGGCCAAGACGGCGGAGAACACACTCAGGCATGTGCAGATGGAGGAGGTGGAAGATGAAGATTTATAGCATGCTATGAGTACTGAGTGTATCATGCACGAGTTATACCTTCAAACGTCCGGTCTTTGTTCCCAGATTCCACATCCTGCTCATAGTTGTGAGAGTGCAGCATTCAACGATAAGGTGAGTGCTACCATAGACGGTGGGAATCCTGATTACTTCGCGGAGAGTAAGCAGCAGGGTAATTGATCTGTGGGCGAAGTTGCGTCTGATTGTGAAAGAAACAACGACAGGCAAGTCACAGCAAAAAACAGATTGTTGATCATTGTTATTTCATTCATGGTAGGGTATATAGATATGCGGCTTTCACGCCGAAAGGGTATGTTCCATCCATCGCAGTATCATGTTCGTCCATTCTCAGGTCTTCATGGTCGTAAGAGGAGGAGGTATCGTGGCTACCAGGCAACAGCAAGAAAAAAGCGAGTGCTTTACTTCTTCTGGCCAGTGGCGCCGGAGAGGGTGTCGGAGATGCTCTGGCCAGCGTTGCCGAGAGCGTCCTGAGCTTGCTTCATGACACCCTGGCCCTGGGCGGAGGCATCGTCGCCGCCTGAGCGGGTGGCGTCACCGAGCTTCTGTCCGGTGGACTTCTGGCCCTCTGGTATGTATGTTAGTTGATGGCCAGGTTGTGAGTGGTGAGTAGTGGAAGAGACGTACCAGGCTGGACCATACCGGCAACGCGGTCACCGGCTCCGGTGAGGCTCTCGCTGGCCTTCTCGGTGGTGGACTTCTGGGAGTCGGGGGTCACTGAGAGACTGTCAGATGCTGCACTGAAGTTGGGTGAAGACAGTAAGCTTACTCTTCTCGGAGGCTTGCTCGCCGAGACCCTTGCGGAGGTTGTCAGACATGTTGGTAGTTGGTGGTTGGTTGGTTGAGGGTTGAAAGTGGTAGTTGTAGTTGTAGTTGAGTTGATTGGAGTTGAGTGTGATGAAGGTTCGAGCAAAGGGAAGCAAAAGCAGTCTTATATACTACCCTTCAGCATCGTCCAGGCTGCAGTGACGTGCTACGAAACCCGTACGTCATGCCTCGCGAGGCACCGTAGCCGCAAAGGGTGTGGGTGAGAGAGGGCAGCAGCAGTCCTACCGTGTACTCAGTGGGCCTTGTTACTTGCTCCTTCACATGTACGGTTGGCAGGGTCTACAGGGGTTCCTGCCAGGATGTATACCAGTTTGCAGACGCCACAGCCCGCCACGATAGGTAGATCAGCACTTCCGCTATATGTGATTGATGGTAATCTGGCGCCTTTGCATGGCATTCGCGTCATCTGGCCACGGCTCAAGGTGGGTACGGGTTCCAGATCTTCTGCCGCGGGACGAACACTGCCCCGCTACGAGCGAGATACGCTGTACAACTTGGATAGAGGGGCATGTGCTGCCGCGGCTGCCCCTCTCGCGCAAATGCTTTTTACTCTGGATAGTTGGTAGCGTAGTAAAGACATAGTTGGTAGCGTTGGATTAGCACCAGTTCTTTCTTGGAAACGGTAGACTATCCCCTCGCCCTACTTCTAGCTCACAGCCATACGCCGGAGAAGGAGCCGCTGTTTGCCAACATCGGGTACGCGAACAGTGGGAGGGTTTAGTGGGGCAGTACCCCGCTGACGTAGCTCAGAGGCACGAGGAAGTCGCGCAGCACGTGACCTGCATCGTCACCATTGCACACTAACCCCAATCCATCACTCCCACACCACGCGCTGCGCGTGCAAACATCCTACAGACATCAACACGTCCCAACATCTGCAGTTCGGTTGAACGGCGGCAATCGACTTCACGCGTACAGCGCGTACAGTGGACGGCGTTGCTAATTCTGGCCTTTTGCCGCTGAGCGAAAACTTGTTTGACATCTGTCGCAGCCTATCCACTTTTCATCTCGTCAACGTCGTCAATGTGACGAGCCTTCGCTTGGGCGATTGGAAGCTGTGCACATCCTGCGCACAACTCCGATCATGTACTTACATAGAAGAAGCGGGCCGTTATCCGTTGCTGAGCTCTGCGCTGTCTGCTGTGAACCTTGGCTGATCTCACAGCATCCGTGGCGAGGCTGAGTCCTGCCAACATCGCGTCCATTGGTACCACAACAACTGCAAGTCAGCAACAAGAAGCGGGAGAAGGGTTGACCTATTTCCGGCCGCAGCTACGGCCTCGAATCACTATCGGAGAACTGGCCCTTGTCTGCACGGCGAGGTCTGCGGTCTCACCTGGCCGGCCGC